AATTGCCTGAACCCAGGAGGCAGAGGTTGCGGTGAGCCGGGATCACACCGTTGCACTCCTGCCTGGGTAACAAGAGTGAAACTCCATCTCAAAAAATAAATAAATAAATAAAATAATGTTTAAGAAATAATGAAATAAGATAAACATTAGTAGTAAGACTAAATTAGTTTGGGACAAAGTCTGCTCTGTGCCTGCCCTAAAAACGCTTTAAACCTGGTCCAGTCTTTTAACTTCCCTGGGCCACCTTGGAAGAAGAATTGTCTTGGGGCACACATTAAATACACTAACAACAGCTGATGAGCTTAAAAAATAAACTGCAAAAAAAAATCACATGATGTTTTAAAAAGTTTATGAATTTGTGCTGGGCTGTATTCAATACCATTCATGGGGCACAGGATGGAAAAGATTGCTTTAAAGCTATCCTTAAAAAGATCAGGATGATGTGCAAATTAATTACTTGTCAGAATAAAACCTAAGACTGTGGAAGAGTACCACAAAATGAAGTAACCCACAATTTAAACTTCATAAGGTTCGGTATCTAGTTAAATTTTACCAAGCATGCTAAGAACTATAAAAATATGGTATATAATTAGGAGAAATATAAGTCTAGAAAATATTACCAGAAATAACACTAGTTACAGGATGAAGATTTTAAAAGAGGTAATATAAATAACTGTATGATGTACCATGTAAACATCTTTGACAGTTTCAATACATTATTAATTATTGTTTTTGTCAATATAATGTGAAACAAAAGTATATTTAAACTTGCAATAATTTCTGTAGCTCCACTCTGAGGAAAGCTTATTCCACAATTCACATATCAATATAAAAGAATATTTCTAAACCTGCAGTGTGCACGGATATTTAATGACATTTAGACACATTAGAACAAACGTATTTTTTATATTAAAAATAAATGAAATGCATATAGGCGTGCATGCTTGATAAAACATCTATTTGATGAAATGTAATAATAATGGTTTGGACTGAGGATATCAAACTACCTAACTTGTATTTAGATCATTGGACTGTGTTTTGCCACTACCTTGCCTTGTTTGTTGCTAATATCCCTAGGCCTTAATGTACACAGCTAGATAATGTGGGGATTCTTCAAAATAGTCTATTACCTTGAAATTCAAAGATAGAGCAAGAATATATTTTTATTATTGTCTTTTTTGTCTTTTTTTAAATATATATTTTTGTATTGCATTTTAGGTTTGGGGGTACATGTGAAGAACATGTAAGATTGTTGCATAGTTACACACATGGCAGTGTGGTTTGCTGCCTTCCTTCCCCTCACCTGTATCTGTCATTTCTCCCCATGCTACCTCTTCCCACCTTCCACCTCCCCATCCCTCCCCCAATTCCCCCCAACGGACCCCAGTGTGTAGTGCTCCCCTCCCTGTGTTCATGTGTTCTCATTGCTCAACACCCACCTATGAGTGAGAACATGTGGTGTTTGATTTTCTGCTCTTGTGTCAGTTTGCTGAGAATGATGGTTTCCAGGTTCATCCATGTCCCTACAAAGGACGCAAACTCATCGTTTTTGATGGCTGCGTAATATTCCATGGTGTATATGTACCACATTTTCCCTATCCAGTCTATCGTCAATGGGCATTTGGGTTGGTTCCAGGTCTTTGTTATTGTAAACAGTGCTGCAATGAACATTCAATCACACACATTCTTAAAAATGGAGACCTTTTCTCACCTGTAGTCAAAAGGAAATGAGATGGAAAAGGAAGTGGAAGAAATGGCTTTGAATATGAGGAAAGAGACCACAAGCCTAGAAATATGGTTGGTGGCTATAGGGAAATTGTCCTCTAGTTATAACTAGCAAGGACATATGGGTCCCAATACTATAATTTCAAACAACTAAATCTTGCCAACACCACTGAACAAAGAAGCAGATTCTTTGCTATGGCCCCAAGGAAGGAACTTAGTTCTGCTGAAACTTTGATTTTAGTGTGTTGAGGTCTCTGTTGGACTTTCAGCCTACAAAATTATAAAATAATGAATTGAGGTTATTTAAGATATTAAATTTTGTGGTCATCTGTTACAGCAGCAAAACAAAACTATCATAGTTCATTAACTATATTTTACTTTTGATGTTTGCTCTAGCTTTACAGTATACATCACTAACTTATCACAATGTACCTTCAAATAATATTATAGCACTTCACATACACTGTAAGAAACTTACCAAAATATATTTCCACCCCATAGTCCAGCACACACACATTTTGTGCTATTAGTTTCATATATTTTAATTCTATATATGTTGTAAACTCCACAGTACTTTGCTATGGTTTTTGCTTTAAACAATACATTAGCTTTTAAAGTGATTAAAATGAGGAGAAAAACTTTTCTATGTTTACCCATATATATAGCATATCTGGCCCTCTTCATTTCTATTTGTAGGTCCAAATTTCCATGTGGTATTGTTACCTTCTTTGTCAATAAATTATTTTAACAGCTCTTGAAGTAGTTCAGCTTTAAATTGCTTTTTAGAAAGTCTTTCTTTTAGCTTAGTTTTTGAAAGATAATTTTTCTAGGTGTGGCTTTTTTTTTCTAACTACTTTAGAAATGTTCCATTGTCTTCTGGCCTTCATAGCCTCTGAGAAGAAGCTTGTTGTCATTCTCATCTTTGTTTCTCTGTACAAAATTTCTTCTGGCTACTTTTGAGGTTTTTTTTTCTTTTTGATGCTGACTTTCATCAGTTTGTTTATGGTATGCTTTAGTTTGATTTTCTTTCTTTCTGCTGCTTGATGTTAATTGTACTTTGTGTATCTGTGTATTTGTAATAGTCATCCAATTCAAAAAGTTTTAAGTCATTTTCTCATATAATTTTCTGAAACCCAACATCCAGTATCCTTCTGAGACCCCAATTGCTTATATGTTATGGCAAGTGACGTAGTCCCACAGTTCAGTAGGACTCATGGTTGTTTTTTCTCTTTCATATGCTATTTCCAATGTGCTTTATTTTGGATAACGTCCTTCATATGTCTTCAGTTTCATGGTTTTTTTCTTCTACAGTGTCCAATGTGTTTTAATACCATCCAGGTTGTTTCATTTAATTTATTGCATGTTTCATCTGTAGACATTCTAGTTAGAAGTTTGCATATATTCTCCAGACAGAAAACCCTAATTGGTGAGTCCCCAGGTCTTGGTTTTCTGCTCAGTATCTCTGGGAAGTTCCTTGGACATACAAAACCCTGTAGGTACATATCTCATCTACTTCTGCATCCTCCAAACTGAGTCTGAGCTTTCAGGGTTGGCTGAATCCCAGAGAAGCTTTTGTCTTTCATCTGTGTGGCTGTCCCCAACTCTCTCTCACCAGTGCTCTTTTTCTGCCAGCCATAAGGTAGATAACAGATACTCATTTTAGTATGGAATGGCCTTTCTCTATGCAGAGCGTTGTATACTTTGGATCAAGGACACACCAGAAATCTCACACCAAGTTTGCTTTATTCATGTGCTCCCTGGGCATTTGGCAACTTCTGGTAATCAGAGCAGTTTAAACCAGTATCTCAAAATATGCTGATTTAAAAATAAGCTTCAAGGGAATAGGGACCTAATCTACATTTTTAAACTTTACATTTCCAGAACCAAGGTCAGGGCCTGCACAGTAAATAGGAAATAAGGAATTTATGTTTACTGTTTGTTTGAGTGTGACAAGTCTGTTTTGATTCTATAAACAATTTTACAAAGGTAATTTAAACAAACAAACAAAACGCTGAAATTACTTCTCTATACTTTTATCAAAATGCCACAAATACATCTTTTAATTTGTATTCCCATTTTCTCATACAGTGATTCAAAGACATGAGCATTAAATATCTGCTGAAAAATTAATAAAAGAAATTCCAAAAAGTTCGTAAAATTTTAAATTCTTCAAAGCCCCAAATCTCCTATTTAATTTTGATCCTAAGTATCTACATCTTTATTTCTATTAATTTTATAACAAAATGTAACAAAAAAAGTATCAAAATTGATTCTGTATTACTAGAACATAAAATTAGCTACAAAATCTGAGACAATTGCACTAATAAATGTTTAAACTACTCCTCAAACCCTGTTGTTGAAGATTGCATCTTTTTTATACTGTTTTCATAAGTCTCCCTGTGTCTAATACATCTTCCCTTCCATGCAAACAACTGAGTAATTAGTTTACTTTCACTTGTAATGAGTAGAAAAGAGCAAATTAAATAACAACTAGATGAGGAACATACATAGTAGGGCCTATCGAAACCTTAAAAGTAAGAATTGTTGAAAAAAGTCTTTTAAGATAGTTCAAAGCACTGACATTACATCTGATGCTATTTAGGATACTGAGGTTAGTGAAGTCTGCAGCTTACCAGGGATAACCCATTTGAAATAGTGTGTACCTTGAATACAAACCCAGTTCTGTCATCTCTCTATATCTGCTCTATCCTGTGCACCATCTGGCGTCCCATAATAACACATTTGCAATTATAAAATTTTCTTGAAGTAGCACAGTCACCATAGTCCTACCAAGATATAGGGCATTATTAAAATTATTTTTTACTTTGTGTAAAGTTATTATTTTGCGTATTTTTGTGTTAAAATGGTATTTTCAGTTCGATGAATAAAAATTCTGTTTTTTATAGGCTATTTTTAAAATTAATATTTACATAAATCTAATGAGACATTTATCATGATATACTGTTTATTCAAAAGAAGCTTGAGCAGTAAAGTAATATAAATAATATATAATTATAATAATAACTGCCATCTAATGAATGACTAATTAGTGTCAGATGCTTTCTCATTAATTAATTCTCACAACTATCCTGAAATGTAGATATTACTGTGTCCACTTTAATTTGAAACAAATCACTCAAGGTGAATTTAATGCTCTACTTCTCTGACTATTCATTAGATGTCCTACACTAGCTACCTGCTATGTTTGACTTGTTTTGCTTTCTACTAATGGTGACTTTCATATTTACCTAATTATTTTCTTTCTTTGCCTTTAGGATTTGATACCAGTATCTTGCCAATTTGCAAGGACTCACTTGGCTGGATGTTTAACAGACTTGATACAAACTATGACCTGCTATTGGACCAGTCAGAGCTCAGAAGCATTTACCTTGATAAGAATGAACAGTGTACTAAGGCATTCTTCAACTCTTGTGACACATACAAGGACAGTTTAATATCTAACAATGAATGGTGCTACTGCTTCCAAAGACAGCAAGGTAAAAGAACACCTACAGATGCATGTAGTCGACCTGCAAGTCCAATTTTACTTATTTTTAATAATAAAATAGTATACTATGCCCATTCATTTTGTATACATTTTTGTAATTCAGGTGTTTAATAAAAGCAAATAAGCTGCATGTTGAGCAAATAACGCTGCTAGAGATGCGGCACATGCTAAATAAGATGAAAAATAGTAATTAATATTTTATATTAATGCACTTCATTATAGTTTCCATTATGAACCACCAAGAAGCAGAGGTACAAGAACATAGATATTAAAAATAATCATTAAAATTAATTTGCTATCTGCTTTGCCCACAATATAAAATAAATGGGTTTTTTATCACTATACTGCAGAGTTTTAATGTTCTATTTTGTGGTCTTATTCAATGAGTTGAATGAACCAGAGCATTTACCATAAGGACATTTTTATTCATGTGAATCTAAAATGATTTAATCTTTCAAACTTTTCAAAATAGCTTGACTTTTATAAAATTCACTAGCAGAAAAAGTGTCTTTAATGCGAAGGAGGAGGTGAGGTGAGTGAAGATTTAAAATAATACCAATTCTTTATGCATCCTTGTATATTAGGATAATGTAACATTGGAATCACACAGAATCAATGGAATGATAATCTATATTAAGTGTGTATAGGGGAGAAAACAAGAATCTTACATTATGATAAAGTTTTGAGAAACTAAGGAAACAATAGTAAGCATAATTTTGATGTTAATTTAGGAAAATACCCTGGGAATTAATGTGATAAAGCCTGCTATTGTGAATGCTTTTTAAAATTCTTGAGAGCTAAGAGGAATAACAAGATACTTTATCAATGATTCTCAGTCTTCAGTATGGAAAGCTAACACATTATATGGGGTATTTTATTATCTCAATTACTTTTTCATACTTAGTTTAGTAATTAGGGATGAAATGAGTATGCATAAATTGATTATTGGTGAGTCAACAGGAGCTTTAGTTGAGCACAGTAATTTTTAAACCAGTCTAGACAAAGTTTAAGAAAACATTTATTGTATTAAAATATTTATTACACACACAAACACACATTGTTAACTTCATTCCATATGTGCTTTCCAGTTAAGTACTCCTAACTGTAACTATTAATATATACTAGTATTAATGACTAGTGTACATTTAAATAATTTAAATAATAAAAAGTACTAGATCCAACTAAAGTGCCAGAATGTATGTCATGTAGTCTTTTCTTATGATGACAAATGTTCTTTTAGTTGTTTTTGGTGCTACGCTAGCATATTTTTGGTGTATATACACAAATATTTAAAATATTCTGAGTAACTCTGAATGCTTTGTCAACAGAAATAAATAAATACCTTTATCTTGAAGCATTCTTGGGTCTTGCAGCAATAATTGTAGAATTGATTAGAAGTCCCCATAGCAAAATTTTACTGTTTCATTTAAAAAGCAGCATTCTCAGGCCGGGCACGGTGGCTCACGCCTGTAATCCCAGCACTTTGGGAGGCCGAGGCGGGTGGATCACGAGGTCAAGAGATCGAGACCATCCTGGTCAACAAGGTGAAACCCCGTCTCTACTAAAAATACAAAACATTAGCTGGGCATGGTGGCGCGTGCCTGTAATCCCAGCTACTCAGGAGGCTGAGGCAGGAGAATTGCCCGAACCCAGGAGGCGGAGGTCGCGGTGAGCCGAGATCGCGCCATTGCACTCCAGCCTGGGTAACGAGCGAAACTCCGTCTCAAAAAAAAATAATAATAAAATAAAATAAAATAAAAAGCAGCATTCTCCCAAAGTGCTGATTTTTGTATAGCCATATGAAGATTTACTCTCTGAGATCTTGTGATGCATAGCAGAAATAATTTAATAAATGCTACCTAAGCTGGTAAAAGGACTTATACAGTTTCTCTAATGCTTAGAAGGGTTTGGCTAAACTGTTGGCCAATATTTCATTACTTTAATTGCTAGAAGTTACAGAAGTTCTCAGGGTAACTGAGAGGGTGTGCTAGTGACATGATACAGCTTTGTTTTTATGTACTCTTTTAGTTCAATAAGTAATTTTATTTTAAAATAACCATTAATTTAAAAACGTTTTTTAAATATTTCATCTTATAAAGTTTTCCTGAAATTCTTAATTAGATATATATATATATATATGTCTATACCCTATATGTATATAGCTACTATATATACACATATATATACAGCTGCTCTCTATATAGCTGCTATATGCACAGACATATATAATTCGTGTACATATATATTTTTTAAATTCATGACTATATACATAATTCGTGACTATGTGTATTTTCTAAATTCATTAATTTTCTAAAATCATGACAATTAAGCAATACGAAATAAACATGGTTGTAATTTGTAGTATTCTTTATTCTAAGTAATCCTGAAAAAGTGAGTAGAAGGAATATTAAATTGGAATTTCAGTTACCTTACATGTTAAGAATGTGCTTTCATAACAGTATGTCTACTTTCACCTATTCTAAAAAGTAAATCATTTATTAGTTTCCATTTCATTGAAAACCCTGTTGTGTAAGATAAGGAAAAGATAAAGAAAACTAACATTTATTCAGCTCCACGTATATTTTATGTACATAAAATCATTTATTACTCAAATAGCCCTGTGAAAGTATAAATATTACCATTTTATGGCCAAGGATTAAAGTTTATTTATAACTAATAGCTTCACATTATGAAGTGAATACATGAATAAACTGGCATTTCAAATGAAACTCTTTGATTTCTGTCTCCGAATGGTTTAATTCTACTTTCAGAAATAGCAACGTAATTATATTAAAAATGCCGTGGAATCATCACTGCAACTTATTGGAAAGTCTTATTCAGTATGGATTAACAACAACATCAACATACAATAACTGTTTATGCAGTATTTTTTCTTAGGAATGCAATTAAAATTAATGACATTTTTGGAGATCGTGTATATATTAATTAACAGGAAGAGCTATCAATGTGTAGTGGACAAGGGATTAATTCATTATTTGAAAAGATATGGTTTTTCTATTAAATGAAATAAATGTGAAAGATTTGGAATTGTGAATATTAGAAATTTCTATGGATGAAATGAACCTAATAAAATTTTAAAAGCATAACCATTCTGTGAGAGGCCACATGACCAATAAAGTATTGAGAATAAGAGTGCATGAGTGCAGTGGCTTACTTAAAAACTGTTAGAGGGCTGGCTTATTGTGAAACCTCAGGGCACCATTGAAAGTGCAATTCAAGTAGATGGTCCATGGTGGACTTGTGCAGTATGCAGCCTGTGCAGCCATACGCTGCCAACTTAAAGATTCATTCCCAAAACTCCATATGTTCAGTTTCTTTTCAGTTTTCACTCTATATTATCCATATATACTTGACAGCTAAAAACAAATATTTCTTAGAAATGACTATTTTCAAGTATAGAATCATATTTTATATTGTAGTAACTGTTGTATACACATGGTATTTTATCTTTATTTATCCCAATTAGATTTCATTTAGTTCAGAATTTCATGGGTAAATAAAAATGTGTTGTTACTGTTGTATTGAAAATTACCAGTTCCTTCTGCAGTGACTCCAATGTAGGGGTTTGGGTCTTTAAATTCAGAATTCAGAACAATACACAGTTTTACTTTAAAAACAAATGACATCTGGAAATTTAACTTCTTTTTTTTTTCTTCTTGTCTCATATTAGTTCAGAACAATTAGTAAAAATTGATTAAACTGGATCTTACATTTTATTAATTTGTGATTCTCATACAGTTTTTAAGCACATAATGTAAGAATTTAGCATAAACTTAAAACACTTGGTAGTAAACACAGTAGGGGAAATAAATCTAATGAGATGAATCCTTGTCTATACCCTATGTTAATCTGTTAGTTCAAACCCTATGTAGACCTAATAGGCTGATTCTGTCCAAACTTTAATGCAATTAGTTGGGTTACTGTTATTTTATCTAGATCAGTTCTTTGCAAGTAAGTTTAAATAATAGATGAAATCTAATTTACATTCTCTAAGAATACCTAAAGGCCAGGCTTACAGAGCTGGCTTATAAACAATAAGAAAATAGTTTAAAATCAAATATTATATGTACTTGGACAGTCCAATTGGTCATGATTTTTCTTGAAATTATAAAATGTTCTCTTACAGAGAGCTTGTAGCATTGGTAGTCAGGCTTATTCTGTGAGGTTGCTAGTCAAAAAAACAGATCAAACGTACCTGGATTTTCAGGTACAGACAAAAATGTACCAGGATGTTCAGGTAAACATTAGAAATATTATTTCTAACTAGAAGAACTGTTTTTAATATAATATTGAAACTCCAACTGGACTCTTTCCTTGTAATTCTTAGATGTCATATTTGGAGGGCTGTAAAATCTTAAATGTCTATATAAAAAACTATTTGATTCCTAATTCTTTAATATAAGAGACTCATGTGATTGTTAGGAATAACCAAGGGATCAATTGAATACATTTCAAAATGAAATAGAACAATATGGTAATTATACAAGATTTTCAAACACACTTCTTTGTCATTACAGTTTAGATTCTGTAAGATGAAACTTTTTAGATTTTGCAAGATGGAAGTCACATATTAAACTACAAAGTATATGTTAAGCACCTATCGCATTCTTTATTCTACTTTGTTGCGTACAATGTAATAATTGAATATTTTGAATTCAATGTATTATATGATTTTTAAATCATTTAAATTGATTATACTTTGCCTTTTACCTAAAAGGTTGTACCACAGGACAACAAGAACTAGTTTATTATTTTGCAGTTTTAATATTTATTAGTGCTACCTTTATATAGCAAGCATTAACAGCAAGTTTTTAGAATATGAGTATAAAATCCATTAAACTGCTTTCAGGTAAGACTATATATATTTCATATTGTATATGTATATGATTATATACAGTTATCTCTCATTGTCCAAGGGGGTTGATCTCAGAACCATTTGTGAACACCAAAATCAAATTACTTAAATCCCTTCCATAAAATGGCAAAGTATTGACATATAACCTATGCATATCCTCTTATATACTTTAAATCATCTCTAGATTTTTATTTTTTGAAAATTTTCCATTAGAGGTGCAGAACCCACAGATACGAAGATCCAGCAGTAAATATAAAAGTAATAATATAAGGCAAACTATATTGCGACTGTTTAGAATTTTACATTTCTCTACAAATGCCCTCCTTCAAGTGGTTAAGTTTGAAAATAAGCAAAGACTATTTCCAAATTGTTTGAAATGTCTTCAGCTTATTTAATGGCTTATCAGAAACAATTTTATATTATGTCCCATTTGTAAATTGCATATATGGATGAAACTAAAAATAACAATATCAGTTAACGTTATAAATATTAAAATTTATAATAGGGTCTCATAACTGGAAAGAAACATTAACTTTTTCATAGATTACTTTTGTTATGCAAAGCTATTTATCTATATCATAGAAACTTTTAAATGAGGGGAAAATATAAGTTAACTGCTTCAACAGTAGTCAATTCATTGAATTTACATTGCTGTTAGAGTTGGTTGACATTTTAAAAGTAAATGATACGAAGAATTTTTCATCATATAAATATGTTTTATACTTTAAAAAAATCCAAACCAGGCATTCTTAGGAAAACCAAGGTGATCTCTTGACAATTAAGAAAGCAGTATGAGTGATCTCTATTTATAGCTAGATATCAGATAGATGATTGATTGATTGATTGATTGATTGATTGACACATACTATATGAAGGTATTTTCATAAGTTAACCAATTAATATGTAATATGTGTTTTCTCAGGCACACAAAGACTAACTAAAGTTTGATAACATAGAAATTATACTTTCTTTTTTTAACTACAATCCTTGAAGTAACATTTTTAATGTCATTGCAGACCCACCTTGCCAGACGGAGCTCAGCAATATTCAGAAGCGGCAAGGGGTGAAGAAGCTCCTAGGTGAGTAATAGATTATTCTTCTGAAGGCTTTATTGCTTACATAAATAACCCCAGGGAAACAGCAACATAAAATCAATATTAATCCAACAAAGATAGACTGCACTAAATTTCAGCAACAAAATTTATGAACTTTTGGAAAGCATTTAAACTTACTTTTATTACCTTACCTATTGAAAGATATTATGTCTGTTTTATTACCCTAATATATGTTCATTTTGAAAATTATTAAGTAAAAAGTATTTAAGCAATGCTAAAGTTATAACCTCAGCAGAAAATTCAGTTCTATGTTTAAGATTTAAGAATTGGTGACAAATATGTATATGTATATGTGTTATTTAAACCAAGTACTTTTATAAATTGGGTGAAAAGATAGTTTGAGTACCTCAGGGAAATTTGAACAGACTTGTTAGCATTTTTCATTAGTATTTTTCACTACCTTACTTTTAATAAGTAAATATATAAGTATGTAGATAGATATTCAAATTTTATTCAAAGCCTTGAAATATTTGAATGTTTGGCTATAAACTAATCATTAAACTATTTATAAGAGTTTTATTTCTTATAATCATACAATTTTTAAACAAACTATTTTTGGAATAGTTTTAAATTTATAAAAAACAGTTACAAAAGTACATAGCTTCCAAACATTCTTCACGCAGCTTACCCTAAATATAACATCTTGCATATGCCAAATAACAATGGAACATTTGTAAAAATCTAAGAAATTAGCATTGCTATAATCCTATAAGTAAGCTTCAGATTTCATTTGGATGTCACCAATTTTGCCACTGATCTTTTTCTGTTTTAGAATCCAAAGCATGACACCACACATGCAATATTTATTTTCATGTATATTAACACACTTGTGTATTTAGTGGCACATAACTCTAATGTTTCTGGATCTGATTAATCTGTGCTATATTTTGACTTGCTATCTTTGTAATTACAATATATTATGTTTCAATAAGACAATTTTTTATATTACTTGCAAATCCTTGGTTCAGTGCCCATTATACAAAATTAAAAGTTTAATATTTTGTAATAAAACATTTTTAAGTGTGAAAATTATCCAGGATAAATGCTACAATATGTCATGTTTATTTTAACTCTGTTACAAGACGCATGAGATATCACAGCTCACAGATGAAAATAATACATTCTGACTGGGCACAGTGGCTCACAGTAATCCTAACACTTTAGGAGGCCAACGTGGGCCGATCACCTGAGGTCAGGAGTTCAAGACCAGCCTAGCCAACATGGCAAAACCCCACCTCTACTAAAAATACAAAATTCCGCCTCGGATGGTGGCATGTGCCTATAATCCCAGCTACTCAGGAGCCTGAGGCAGGAGAATTACTTGAACCTGGGAGATGGAGGTTGCAGTGAGTCGAGTTGGTGCCACAATGCTCCAGCCTGGGCGACAAAGCAATACTCTGTCTCAAAAAAATAAAAAAAGAAAAAAGAAAGATTTAGCCATGTACAATGGAGAAAGCCATTGAAATTAAACTTAAAAATATTTTCTGTTTAAGGTTTATTAGTAACAAAAATTTATTAGAATCCAAGTTTTGATTATTTGAAGCTATAAAAAAAAATTGTGCCCATTTGGGAATAGTTATCTTCATTCTTCTTTCATAATATAAATGAAAATTATTACAGAGAACACGAAAGGCTTTAAGCATCTCTTCTAATTTAGGTGGGATATGAGTATGCATCTGAAATTGATCACTTGTTACAGAGGAGTATGGTGCTACATGTCCTGATTTGTAGTTTCAGTCTTTGAATGTAAAAGAGAATACTCTGAAGAATTATGCTGAAACTGCAGACATCAACCAACTTTGCTGGCATAAATTATCAATTATGGTCACAGTAATTATACATCCTAACATTTTTATGTCAAATATGTCAAATCATGGTAGTTGTAAAAGATGTAGATGTAACAACGTTGATTTTTTTCTTATTTTTTTCTGGCCTTCAATCCAGAGAAAGTGTTCTGAAGTTAGTGATATTCTATATATCTCATCGAAAGATTAGCAGTTCAGATATTTTGAATAAATTACAGTTTTTAAACTAAGTTAATAATCTATGTATAAACATTATCAAACTTTTTGAGATAGTGAAATTATTATCCCATATGGTTACAACACTAAGTAATTTTGTCTTTTATCCATTTACTTAACTTTTTTTTTTATCTCACCAAATAACTATTTTGCTTCTGGTCACAGAAAAAAAAATAGTCAAAAAATTAAAGAAAATATTCTTATCTGCTAGAACTTAAATTCTTTTCTTGGAGTACTTACTAAAGAGCATGGCATCACTTTTAAATTACTAATTAAGCATTTATCATGAGCATGGTGCCATAGAGTATATTATATTTTATACATATAAAAATAGTGTCTGGCCAGGGGTAATGGCTCATGCTTGTAATCCTAGCATTTTTCGAGGCCAAGGTAGACAGATCACTTGAAGTCAGGATCTCAAGATCAGTCATGAAAACATGGTGAAACCCCGTCTCACTAAAAACACAAAAGTTAGCCAGGTGTCGTGGTGCACACCTACAATCTCAGCCACTCAGGATGCTGAGGTAGGAGAATTGCTTGAACCTGGGAGGTGGAGGTTGCAGTGAGCTGAGATTGCACCACTGCACTCCAGCCTGGGCGATAGAGCAAGGATCAGCTTCAGTAAATAATAAATAAATAAAAATTAGTGTCTATCTGTTCTACCATTCCCAAAAGACTGTGTTCCCACTAGACTGTGGGTTTGAGATGTTGTTTACACAACAATGAAAATGAATAGAACCTAAATATTTCTAACCATAGATGATATCACAATGTAGTGTTGAAAGTATTCAGTGACAGTCAACACACACACAAACACACACACATACAATGCAAGAAGAAATCAGAAATCTTTCACTTGAATAGAACTCTTTAAATTGTGGGTAACATTTAAGTCAAATCCTAAAATGAAAGAGAGAAGAGAGAGATTCTAGTTGAGATAAACAATGCGTAAAGAGATGAAACAGCATTGAATTTGGAAAAACAGATAGCTTGATTTGAAGAGAGCTTGGCATATAGGAATGAACCTTTGGGGAAATGAAAGTAGAAAGTTGGCAGTGATGAAGGCAGATGGTGACAGGTCTGCCATGCTAAGTGGTCTGGGTGATTTAATATAAGCATGGCACCAATCAGATTTTAATTCTGTATTGTCCCTGTGAAACACTACACTTTACAGTGTGGGAACTAGTGAGATAGTAATTTACTTAACAAAGGAGATGAATCCATGAACCATAGGCAGTTTATTATGACAACAATGACAGGAAGACTTCCCTGATTTCTTCTAAGGCATCACTGGTATCAATCCTAGAATATAGCGAATACTCCATATGTGTATGTCATTGATGCATTAATGCATATGGGGTGCACAGCTTATGCATAAACTGTATGTGTGTGTTTGCATGTCTACGTGTTGTTTCCACAGGACAGTATATCCCCCTGTGTGATGAAGATGGTTATTACAAGCCAACACAATGCCATGGCAGTGTCGGGCAGTGCTGGTGTGTTGACAGATATGGAAATGAAGTCATGGGATCCAGAATAAACGGTGTTGCAGATTGTGGTAAGGAGAGGGTTACTTATTTCATAATTTTCCAAGCACAGAATTAAGTGCTTTAGAGCCTCATTCATTTGTTCAAGAATTTAATGAGGACTTACTCTATGCAAAGACTATAGAATATATATAGGGTGGAGGGAGTGACAAAAAGACTTGCTCCCAGTAAGTTAAAAACTTGGATAGATAATCAGTGGCCATTGCATAATTTAGATTTTCTAGAGAGATTAATTAAAAGCTGGGTTGCTTTCCTACTTCAGATTCAGAGAGCTGTTTCCATACTTCTTTTCCTCTCAGGTAAAGCAGTCCTTTTTCATTCTTCCTACTGTATGTCAAAAAGCCCTATTTATCATATTCAGATTGACTCCCTTTTGCCTGTGTACCTCTGGAGATGGTGACTTAGGGAATATGTGGGTTCACTAGCCAAAGAAAAACAAACTTTTTTAAAGTAAATATCCATAAATTACAGCTATATGAGCATGTTTCCTTGTGCTTGAGTGAGGAAAATGTAGTTTGTTTAAAGGGAATTATAGTTAATAGTCTAATTCTTTTTTAGGAACATGCATTTATGTATGTATTTAAAATAAAATGTAACAATTAGTTGAACATCATATGCATGCATTTAAAAGTTTCCATTGTGGTACCATTTGTACTTCATAAAACATTTTTTCTAGAAGGCAAGTGTCAATTATGTCTGTATTATAGACAGTTTTTATGACAAAAGCCACTTTGGTATACACACACACACACACACACACACACACACACATCAGGAATTAATGCATTGTGTTTCAATTAATATAAATGAGTAAAAATGAGAATAAAATAGTTATTCAGTCTTGCATTTTAGAAATATTTAGATGTATTCTTCAAGCAATTTTTAGACTAATGAACCAAGACTTCAGTCTTGCATTTTAGAAATATTTAGATGTATTTATCAAGCAATTTTTAGAATAATAAACCAAGCCTATTAAGAAAAAGATGATGAACAATAAAAGTAATCTCATTTAATCTTTAAATTCTTACTCTGGATTCGTTTGTTCATAACATTTTTAATAGCTTAGTTTTGGTTTGCTGACCTGGCCAATTTGATAAGATTTAAGTAGGAAGAAGGAGTATTTTCAGTAGCTGTCTTACATAAACTTTACATGCAGGGAACATGTCTTTGTAAATATATACTGTAAAGTGGTTGCATTATTAATTACTTTTGTTGTTTGATGACAATGATGGATAAATAACTTTTTTACTTTATAAATAAAAATTATACAGAGATGAGTTTCTTAAGTGAACAAGAATGTTGTCTTTGAAACATGGACATCTAAGTTTTCTTAACAGTTTGTAACTAATACAGTAGATGCAGTTGGAGAATAGAAACAATATTTTCTTCAGTTAAGATGAAGATTTTAGTGTGTTGTCTTGAGAGAGCCACCAATTTATAAACCTTGAATTACATCAAATAGGATTTGTTGTAATTAGCTACCAAAGAATTATAAAAATAAAATATTAGCAAGAGTAGAAAATAAATGCACTCTAGCATTAGAGGAGTTGAAAAGTCAATACACAGTGAGTGCTAAGATGTATGTGCATTATTGCCTTCACAGATATTAATCGTTATTTGTAAAATAGTAGTTTTCTGTTGCTATCGTAATTAATTCCCACTTAGTGGCTTAAACAACACATCTGTATTATCCTACAGTTTTGTACATCAGAAGTTCAACCAGGTCTCACTAAGCTCAACATGAAGATGTCAGCAGGGTGGTGCTCCTGTCGTGGTTTTAGAGGAAACACTGTTTCATTGCCCTTTCCACTTAGAGGGGGCTCGCATCCCTGGGCTTATGGACCATTTCCTCTAACCTTAAGCCGACAATGTTGCATCTCTGATCATTCTTCTGTAGTCATAGCTCCTTCCCAATATATCTGGAAAACATTCTCTGTTATTAAGCACCTAAGTGACTATTTGGACCCACCTGGGTAATTCAGGATAATCTCTCCAATTCCAGCTCCTTTACTTACCCACATTGGCAAAGCCCCTCTTTCGTGTAAGGTAACATATGTGTAGGTTCTGGAGATTAGTAAATGGACATCTTTGGTGGGGCGATTATTCTGCCACACTTGTAGGAGAGATTTTAAATTATTTGTAAAATGGACAGTCTGACATAAATTTCTGCAAAAACTGGGCTGAGATCAATGTTACTGGACTGGAAATCTTGCATAACACATCTCAGTAATGATTCTGCTTTTAGCAAATACATTTTAAGAGATGATAGGTTTTAACATGTGATCATTTTCCAGATAATGGATCTTTACTTGTCTTTGATAAATATGATAGAAAACAAATTACTTTTTACAAAATATTCTTAATTTTCTTAAGGATTTTATTTCTCAGAAATTATCTCACTAATCAGTCAAATAAGGGTTATGTTTACTTTCACTTTTTTTAAGCAATCGATTTTGAGATCTCTGGAGATTTTGCTAGTGGAGATTTTCATGAATGGACTGATGATGAGGATGATGACGATATTATGAATGATGAAGATGAAATTGAAGATGATGATGAAGATGAAGGGGATGATGATGATGGTGGTGATGACCATGATGGATACATTTGATTGATGACAGCTGAAATCTATAAATTCTACATTTCTAATATTTATGAAAGTAATAGCCTATTTAAAATTATCTTCTTGCCCCATAACAAAATAATTCTAAACCTTACATATATTTTGTATAATTATTTGAAAAATTACAGCTAAAGTTGTAGAACTTTATGTTTAAGTAATAATCATTTGCTTTGAGTTTTCATATTCCTTATATAAAAAGAAAATACATATGCAGTCTAGCCAGACAAAATAAAGTTTTGAAGTTATTACCATAAATTTTTCATGAGACCAAACTTTGTAAATCTTCCATAAGCAAAATGACGACCAGTGCTTGGGATCATAGTGTTCATTTTTTGAAAGATAATTCTAAGAGAAATTTAAAACAAATAACTTATTAATGACCTGGATCCTGAGGATTTAAGAAAAATATGCATGACTTTAATTGCAGTTCCAAAGTAGCATCTTGCTAGACCTAGATGAGTTAAGATAACAGAGAGATACCACATGGCAAGAAAAACAAAGTGACAATTGTAGAGCTCTCCGTGTGTTTAAATTAATAATGGTATTTTTAACTCTGATATTGTTCTGGCTCTAACAGGACATTTTACAAAATGGCAAGTATGGAAAAACCATGGATTCTGAAAGTTAAAAATTTAGTTGTTCTTTCCAATGTGTATTTTAATTTGGATGGCAGTCTCATGCAGATTTTTAAAAATATTATTTGATAACATGATTTGTTTGCCTGTCTAGATTTCTTTATCTTTCTAGCCAGCAACTTAGGGTGCAGAATTTAAATTAGGAAGACAAAGGGAAAGATTCATTTAAACCATATTTTCACAAAGTTTGTTATTTGCCCCAAGGTCAAATTTTAAATTCTTAATTTTCATTTTATTTCCCATTTTAGATAAAAATTTGCATTTAATCTTAGAATTATGTATTTTTTGTTAGTCGTGCTGAAACTTAGAGAACGTATTGTATGGTGCCTTGCAAAAATAGAAATAGAAAGATTTTAGCATGCATACCAATATAGTGTATTAGGCAATATATAAGCACACCTAATTAACAGATTAATATCAGTAAAGGTACTGTTGCTGGAATGAAGAAAAATGGGATATGTTTCTTTTTTTTTTCTATTGTTACATAATTGCCATGTGGACTTGTTTATGATTATTGTGTAAAGTAGCATTTAACATTTAACTGTAGCAAAAATTACTTTAACCACTGTATTTAAGTTAGCATGTTAATTACTTGTGTAGACATTTGGCACACAATAACTTAAGTATATCAGACCAATGGTTTTGTGCCCATAATAAAAATGGAAAAACCTGCTGAATGTTACATATTGGTATCTTTAATTTCAACAGTGAATAAACTTGTTTCCCAGTATACAATTCATTGAAAGCAAAATTGATGAATTATTTCCATTTAATTTATACACACTCAACAAAAAAATTTAATGTGACTTTATGTAATATTTAAAGTATAATGCATTTTCTTTTTTCTACTGTTTATGCACAGTTTACAAAATAAAGAATCTTATAACCAAATTAAACTGTTCCTCAGTGGTTTTTCCGGAGTACACATGGTAGCATGAAGGCTTCTTAAGCTATTCCTTGATTTTTAAAATGAATGCATTGCTAACTAGCTAGGGGAGCTTCCTGAATTTTAGAATTTCAAAATTAGGGTTCTTGGAATCCTGAATATTATTTTTCAATGTATGTTAAAAATGTATTTTTGTTGTTGGTGGTTTGTTTTAATTTGTTTCATTTGTCGTAATATTGTAAAATGGATCATATTTTTGTCAAGGCTGTATTTTAAAACCCATTTTTATAGAGTAATACTTAACATATTTGGCTGAATTTCTACAGCAATAGCATTTTGAAGAGTTGTCAGGTAGCCTTGTCTATTTAACAAATGTATGTAAATATAACTGATTGTTTGGGAAGAGACAAAATCAAATTCTATACAGAGGTTTAGCAAATGCATTTAAAATAACAAATATAGTAATGTTGAAATTAAGCTATTTTTTAAAGAAGTGTCTCTGAGACTCCCAAGAAAGCAATTAACTCAAGAGCAGATAGAAAATTTAAAAATATTACACTATAAAACTTTATGTAAATTATTTGTATACAATATATATTTTTATGTGTGCATTTTAAAATTCTATTTGTAGTGTAAATTAGGTCTTTTCATTATCATTTAATCCATTTTAAATATTTTGAAACAGTACAATTATACCTATACATTTATCCCCCAAAACATAAATATTGGATAGCTACTGCAAAGCAGACAGTATTCTAGACTCTAGAGATTCATTAATTAACAAAATAACTGTGAAGAGTAAAGACACAATACATTTAGTTCCTAGCCCTTAATACAACATATTTAAAAATATTAAATAATCTCCATTGGAGTAAATCATCAAAGGTGGATATTTACTAGACTTAATTTGACTAAATAATGAAGTATTTTGAACCCCTAGAAAGAGTCGTTGATACAAACCCAAATCTTAACATTTTAATTAAAAAGAAACCAAGTACCGCAACAGTTAGTTCTTTCTTAAATTGAAATCTGATTCATAGGTATAAAATCATACTATAGAGTCTATGATAGTGTCTTATCTTTCTCATCTGTGTTATTTAGGAAACACACAAGCAACTCAAAAATTGCAAGACATTCTGAATCACAGCAAATTGAAAATTTAAACATTAGAGAATATGAGAAGAAGAAACATTCCAATAAAATAGCACGTGTTCTTTATATGCCAAAATCTAGTACAGAAAGTAATGATGCTTTATTGCTGTACATATTCAGATGGTAGTGCTGCCTAATACTATTGGGGGAAAGAAAGCTAAGTTCATAATAAACATAAAACATTTTAATATTGATCAAAATGATATGTGGCCTAATTCAAACTCTGTCTTTCTGTCAGTCATTTAATAGAAAAAAAAATCCATCAAACCAAAATATCAAAATTATGAGAGAAAATTTTCTAATTTTATTAATTAGCTGCTAAAAGTACTTTATTCTGTGTATACATTTTTACAGTATTTTTATTTTATATGAAACTAAAGATTTGAAAATTGTCTCATAAACATTGATTCTTATAGGATGGTGATAGCTTATTTAGAGCAGATTTACAGAATTGCATGAATAAATACACGTTTTATAACAAACATTTTGATGACCTGTTTTATATAAAATTGATAAAGACTTGGCTGTATGCAACAGAATATGAAGGGCTCCATACACAGTTGACCTTAGAGATTCCTAATAGCTGGGGGGAAAGTGGAGAAATATGAAGGGCTTCGTTCACAGTCTATTTTAGAGATTTCTGATAGCTTGGAAGAAAGTGGCGAATGAGCCAACCAAACACAGTCATTATCAGTAATGTGCTGGCTCTACCTGATACAAGTGTGCACATATGCACACACAAACGTGTGCATGCACGATTCACCCAGTATTTTCTTTGAATTAAAAAAATTCAGTACATTACCTCACATTTATTTCTCTTATCTTTTGTTCATAATGAATAAAATGTGCTAGAGCATATCATACATTGTTCAGATGAAATAAGAAAATTTTAAAATCTAGAATATTTAAAGTGGCTTGGAGATGTAAATAAATGATCATGTTAGCTTATTGAAGCTTATTCTATTTGACATTATTTTAAACCTAATAGCTGTTATTAAGGTTAATATAATGGAGACATTTTCATTATTTCTAGTACACATTTTTATAGAAAATAATATCAACTGTTTAATTCTGTGTTTTAAAAATATTTCATGAATTATAACTTGGCTTCATGAAACTTTTATTAATGATTAAGTCAATAAACACATCAAAGAGAACATCTTAAGCTTTCACTGTATACGATATATACATCATCCATCCTGGGGCAAGACAAATCGGAATAGTCCTTTTGAATAGTAATAATTTTCTCTCCTCAACTGTATATGAATGTCTGCTGTCATTGTTCTACTTAATATCTCTACCTAATTTCCCAATTTCTCAGTTAAAAGCTTAGTAAGTAAAATTAAGATAAATGAATATATGGTTCAACTTGATTTAAAATGGTGTAGTAAACCACTGTAGGTGAAAAGATCTTTTAAAATCACAAAAATCAATAAACACCTTTACATCCATATTCAACTCTTTCAAAGACATCCTTGGGGAATACATTTTTAATATATTTTAGTCGTCATCCATCTCATTCATCCTTAAATATGCAAATGCATATATTCCTAGGTTTGGAGTCTACATGTCATCTTTCTCACCTTCAATGTAGCTTAGTGTATTTATCCTGGAGAATTTATATGAAGGTTACATGCACACAAATTTCAAGCAGGAGCACTGTGTTTATCCTGTAGTAGGTGTCCACTAAATGCTAATTTTTTTTTTCAAAACTTTAAAATAGGATAACAACAACAGTATTACTAAAGTTTTCAAGATATGCTGTCAGAATTATCTTCTCTTTTTACAGCTTTATTCATAGTAATTCAAACAAATTATCTAGTTGATAGTACCCTCATATACCAAGTAAACATAATAAATAGTGCTCACATCATAGAGTCAGTGTGAAGACAAAATGAGTTAACACATGGTGTCTGGAACATAGTAAATACCAAATGAATGTAATTATTTTTGTTACTTAAAGAAGCTTATAAGCCCTAGCAAAAGTCATATGAAGAAATGAAAAAATAAACTCCAAACCCAAGCATCTTAACTAGTTGGCTTCTCTAAGTAATTACTCATTTTTGAATAGGTATATTTCAAGAGAAACATGTACTAGGGTTTGTGTCAGTTTAGTGTATGTATCACACATCAAATGTCACAGACATTAAATTCATGCAATAAGCTAAGAGGTGGGTATCAGTTTTTCTTTTATTAGAGACGAAGTATCTTAGAAATCATGAATACTCATCATTCCCGGTTCTCCTCTCCTTAATGGACACATTTAATATCTTCACTTTTCCTTCACAGTCAGATTGAGGCCCTGCAACTAGTTGAGGCCAACTGACTGCGAGTTGAAGTAGCCTGTATGGCGCTTGACAAGACAGGTGTCACCCCCATCCTTGTACAGGCAGTTGGGATGGAACCATGACAATGCTCTATCTTTACCCAGGCCTCCTGGTTCCACGGGTTATTTAGCCATGTCATGCTACTTCCACATTTAAATTTGCAACCACTAGCCGAAACTGATGGCTTCTTCTTAAACAACATACCACATGTTTTGAAGCCATCTGCAATCCTTGTAAAGTGAAGCAGAACATAAACAAATTAATTCAGCTGTTGAATGAAATGCATTTGTGTAGCAGTAGAGGAAATGCAGTGCATGGAAGTAACTCTCTGAGCTCCATCTGATACTGCTTTGTGACATTGGGCCAATAATGAACTTTGCTGTCACTGATTTTCTTCACTTGTAAAGTAATAGTAGTGTTTGGATTTCATAAGGCTGTAGTAGTGCCTTAGTGGAAATTCTAGTAAAATACCTAGCTCAAAAAATTTAGCTACAATAAAAAAAGATAGTAAGCATAGTGGTAAAAGCTCTGGGCAGTACAGTCTACCAGTCTTGAATCCTGGCTCTGGCTCTCATGGACTGTGTGACTTTAGGCAAGTTACTTGACATCTCCATGGCTTCGTTTTTTCGTCAGTAAAATAGGTATGATATTAATTCTCACACCTTAGAGCGTTGTGACAGAGGATTACAAACTTTAGTACTTATAAAAGCACTTAAAACAGTGCCTAGCCACATAGTCAGCACTGAATAATAGTTATTATTAAGAAGAGGAAAATGAAGAAAAGCACAATCAATAAATCATCCCCTATTTATAGATCCATCATATTTTTAAGATGGGAATATAGAAATTCTTATTCCTGTTTTTTCTGTTAGAAAACATCCAGTCCAGAGATGTAAAGTGGTCTCTAAAGTTCACCAGGGACATCAATACAGAAACTAAACGACAAACTTAAGAAACATCAGCTCAGTGCAGTCCAATATCAACTTTCTCTTGAGCTCTCATAAATGTTCTCTCTTACAATGTAATTCCTATTTAAGGGCTAACCTTTTCAAAACATTGATTATCTATAATTTCTTATCTAAAAGAGTGGTTATTTATAGAAAATTCTTAATGTAGTTTCACTGTAATACTAATTTTTAATGTGTCCTTTTAATTGGTATATTAAATAGTGCTAAGTTTCAATATTCTTTTTAGCCCCATGGGGTAAGTTGCTGAAGTGCCAGAGTTGAAATAAAAACAATAATTAGAGACTATAAATCTGTTTTAGAGCTTACCAGAGGTTGCATCAAAGTGAAATTTAGAACTGACTAGATTTAA